AAAAAAAAAAAAAAAAAAAGACTAGCGGTTGTGGTGGTGGCGCCTGTGAACCAGCTACTCGGGAGGCTGAGGTGGGATGATCGCTTGAGCCCAGGTAGTTGAGGATGCAGTGAGAGCAAGACCCCATCTCAAATATAAACATAAACACAAACAAAAACAAACAAAAAAGGAAGTGTAGTCCCTCTACTGTGATACACCTGAATTTAGGCAGGAAAAAATATCCCAGCAGGTCAGAAGCACAAGCCATGGTGGATCACAGGCTTTCAACTTGCAGCCCTGCTCCTCCGTTGGGAGCTGGGAGTGAGGGCCCGTGTGTGACCTCAGGGAGCCCAGAGCTGTGCCTGGTGGCCCCGGCCCACAACTGACACAGCCTTCGGGGACTGGGGCCTGGAGCTCTTATGCCTGGCGAGACGCCTCTGCTGCCTTCGCCTGTGGTGAGAGCCTCATTCTCTGACCCCAAGACCCATGAAGCACAGCACAGGCTCCTGCTCCGAAGGAAGCACTGGGGGATCTGGGCTGAGAAGGCCACTTCTCCTCAGGGCTGCTTCCTGATCTGTAAGTTGGGTTCCGCTGTCCTGACCCGGACAGACTGAGAGCCCGTGGGACGGCACAGGCTGCAAGTCTAGTCCCCAGCAGCGTGGCCCAGGTGTGGATGTGTGGATGCTCCTAGGGGGTTCTCAGGGACCCCAGGGCCAGCCCGCGGGTGCATCCTTCCAGCACTGCATTTCTGGCAGGTCCGAGCCTTGGACAGGGTGGGAAATTTTCACAAAAGCCAACAAGAGAAAGGGCAAGGCAGAGCCAGGGCTCAGCCAGGCGCTCCCGTGCTGAAGCCCAGCTCCTTCCATGGCACCACTGCCTCTGAGCGACCCCCGTGATCTTTCCTCTCTAGCAAATGACCAGTGTCACCAAACTTGGTCTTTCGGAGACGCACACAGTGGCCAGTGAGTGGTCTGACCCCCAGGCTGGCCGTCCGGCTGTCTCCCGGGACCCCTCCCGGACCAGGGCCCCGGGCTGGGGCTCACCTCTCCTGCCCTGTCCCAGGGAAGCTGTCATACCCCAGAAGAGGGCTGCCTCACGGGGGAAGCAGAGCCCGGAGATCAGGACAGAAGCAACAAGAAAGGGCCTCCGTGGAGTGCGGGGTGTGGATGGTTTATTCTGCTGGATGAATCTTAAGAACACGGCTACATTAAAAAAAAAATCCAACATTCCAGGAAATGTCCACCCTGGAGCTGTCCCCATGGTGTCCCCTGAGGCACGTGAGGGTTGGCATCTCCTGGGACAGGCGCTTGGACAGAAGGGCAGAGACAGAGCCATGTGACCTAGGGCAGAACCAGGCAGGCCCCACACGGACGGCTGACCACAAGGCGTAAGGCCACAGCCACGGGCTACAGACAAAGACACAGAAATCACAAACCAGCAGGAGCCGGCAGAGGGGCCGGCGGGGTCACCGTTCACTCTGGGCATCGCCAAGGGCTGCAGGATCTGCTGAAGGGCGATGACTCCTAGAGGCGAATGCCTGGCGCTGCGGAGGGGCCTCTGGAAATCCAGACCCCAAAGCTTCACCCTGGGAGCCTCCTAACTCCGCCTGAGTCCTTCCAGAACGACCTGCGGGCCGTGCCCCGGCCCTCGTCCAGGCCATGCAGCGGTGCAGGCAACACGCAGAACTGTACCAGAGCCGACACTGCAGCCACTCCGTCCCAGCAGCCTGGGCAGGCCAGTGAGTGCATGAGGCCCGAGGTGGCCATGTGCACCGACCAAGGAGGAGTTAAATTTGGGCCCAAAGAGCGCGTGATGCAGGTCCTTTAGGCCCTGCCAGCAGTGATACTGTCCCAAGCAGCACATGTCTGCAAGCCAAGGATGAAGGTTGGGGATAGGGGCACCCACGAGTGGCTGACCATGCCCAGGGTTGGGACTCCAGCCAGGCAGTGCACTCAGGGCCCTGGGGCTCACATGCTTTCAGGGACATTGGTGGGGAGCTGCTGCTTTAGGATTCTGGGGACTCTGAGGTGGAGCAGCCTGTGTAGAGACAGCCCCAGAAGGGCCCTGGAGCTTTGAGTGTGCCTGCAGCCCTGGGAGCACATTCTGCTCCGGGGAAGAGCAGGGCGGACCCACCTCGCGTTGTTGGCAGCATGTCCGAGAGCCCCTGCCACGCGGTCACCATCTCTGGGTTCTTTTCCAAATCAGCAAAATTCTTCCAGACCCTGATGGCACCATCGTCTGAGGAGGGAGAGAGGGAAGGATGGGAACCAGGCCCGGCGCTGGCCTGGCCTGTGCTGTGTGTGTGGGGTAAGAGGCCTTCCTGGTAGACGTGCTGCAGTGACTCTGGGCGGGCAGCTTGACTTGCTACCCATGGTTCCAGATCTCCGGGTGCCCGCCGACTCGACTCTGCCCTCAGACCCACAGCTGGGTGAGCCAGGAGGAGTCGCCGCAGCCTGGGGGATGGGAGACCACAATCCTGTCCCACCCTGGCCACAGAGCTCAACTCCGAGTGAGGTCTGGCTGCCCTGGGACCTGGCGCTGCCCCTTCCTCCCTCTAGCTCTAGGGCCTCAGGTTCCCTGGTGGGGAGGCAGGCGGGCAAAGCTTGGTTGGGCGGGGGGGGGCTGCGGTTTACCCTCTGGTGAGCCAGCCTGTGCCAGGAAGCAGAACGAAAGGCCAGCTTCACAGAGGACACCCGCACCCTCCGCCCCGTTCCTCTCTGTGCTCCACAAAGAAAGCAGCCTTGACTTGAAGGGACAATGCAGACGTCCGGACTCTCCGCCTAAGACGCGGGCATGGACGCCGTGCCCTGCTCTTAGGGGCTTAGAATGGAGCAAACGGCCCTCTGTGTCCTCCAGCAGATGCGCAGGGAGGTCAGCTTGGGTGTGGGGAAAGCACGTGGGTCCTCTGAGCCTTCCGGGAACCCCGCCCCCTGGCCTTGCCAGGCCCTCCTGCGTGGCCCTCAGGTGCTCTTCAAGCCCCAAGCTGACTGGCCTGGTGGACAACGGCCTCGCCTCCACCCGCCTGCCTGTCCCGCTCTCCGCTCTCCACCCCACACAGCACACGCTCCCAGTTCTGGAGCCCGAGGCCTTCTCCTGCTGTCCGGAGCCCGCCCTGTAAAGGACCCCGGCCCGGCTCCAATGCCCGCTCTCTCAGCCAAGGAACTGCCCTCTCCCTCTGGTGCTCGCAGATGGTCACAATGGCCTCTCTGAAACCGTGGGCTGAGCCTGGCTGGTCCCTTGCCCCCTCCGCCCCAACTATACATCTCCTCCCGGTCACATCTGACAGCTACAGGGACAAGGACGGGCTTTTGACATGGGTTGATGCTACTTGGTCCTGAGGTGGCAGTGCTCGGAGGAGGCGCTGCAGGAGGACATGTCCCCATGGCCGCGCCCCTCACCAAGAGCCCACAACCACGCTGAGGGCTGCACACTCGCCAATACAACCAACTCGACACTCTCAGAGGCTCGGGTGTCCAGGGGCTGGAGCCGACAGGGACAGGCTGGGTGGGATCTGGGCGTCTGCCTTCGCTTCTCTCAGCCGTGCTGGCCTCTCCCGCCTGCCTCCCACCCAGTGCTCTCCAATCTCTACAGGAAGTACCGTGTGACTGACAGTGACTTCTCATCAGTGACAGGCAATGGATGCATGTTTTCAAAGCGCTAAAGGAAAACGACTGTCAACGTGGGGTAACTGACGTGGAAACGATTGTTCCAAAGTGAGAGTGAAACTAAGACATTTCAGACCCCCTCCAAAAAAAAACCCCCTCAAAACCCAAGAAAACCAAAACCAGAGCGAGACCCACTATGGCAATGAACCACTGGTCAGTGACCATGACGGTCAACGATGTCCTTTCGGGCACAGGACGGGACTGGAGGAGGGTGAGTGCCAGCTCCCGGCGGGGACAGCAACTGGCAAATGAGCCAGCGACGCCAGGAGACCGGCCGGGGAGGACCTGGCACGTGTTGTGGCTTGGGGCATCCTCCCTGATTCTCGGGTGTCACGTGGGACCCACCCGATCTCTCACAGGGGTTTAAGGACAGAGGCTATTCCTGGTGCTGGAAGGGCCAGAGGACCGAGATGAGAAAAGTCCCTGGAACCCTGAAGCACAGGGTCATCTTTACTTTCCTGTCTGTGCTGCTGAAGCCCTTCCCTCATATACCTCCCACTTCTGAATGAGCAGGGCTCTCTGTAAGACAGATGTGCAAACACATTTCAGGATTGCACGCCCTCCCCGCCACTCCTCCAGACTCCAGGTTCCGATCTCGGCTGTGCAAAGCCTGCTCACCTGTGGCCGTCAGCAGGAGTGAGCAGTCCTGGCCGTTCAGATACTCCATGGCAGTGACCCTTGTGTACCGAGGGTTCCCATTGTGGAAATAGTCCAGTTTCTCCCCTTTCTCCCAGTCCCAAAAGCTTAAGGGAAGAAGAGAGGAATAAAAAAGTCATTAGGAAACTGCAAACCCAAATGACAGTGAGATACCTCCGGAAACCCACCGGGATGGCTGCTATCAAAAAACCACACGCTACAGCTGGGCACGGTGGCTCACACCTGTCGTCCTAGCTACTTGGGAGCCTGAGGCAGGAGGACTGTTGGAGCCTGGGAGCTCAAGACCAGCCTGGACAACAAAGCGAGACCCTGTCTCCAAACAAATAAACAAAGAGAGAATAATGGTGCTGGCAAGGATGTGAGAAATCGGAGCCACAGGCTGTGTGGGTGGAAAGGAAGAGGATTTCCTGTGGAAAACAGCCTGGTGGTTCCTCCGAAAATTAAACAGAGCATCACCATATGGTCCAGCAATTCCACTCCGGGCGTATCCCCAAAAAACAGAAAGCCGGGACTTGAACAGATACTTGTACACCAATGTTCACAGCAGCGTTATTCACGATAGCCAAAAGGTGGAAGCTGCCCAGGTGTCCACGAACAGATGAGCAATGAGACAAAGTGTGGTCCGTCCGTCCACACAGTGGAATATTACTCAGCCAGGAAAAGGAAATTCTGACGTGCTATAGCCTGGAGGAATCTTGAAGACACTACGTTGAGTCCAATAAGCCAGGCACAAAGGGCCAAATCCCGGGTGACTGCACTGGTTGAGGCTCCCAGCATGCGCCACTTCAGAGAGACAGAAGGTAGAACACTGGCTCAGGTGGATGCAGGAATGGGGGAGCTGGTGTCTGATGGGGACCAAGTTTCAGTTTTGTGCAATGAGAAGGTTCTGGAGACCAGTGGGGGTGATGGTCGCATAACAATGTGAATACACTTCATGCCACTGGCTGTGCACTCAAAACGGTTAAAATGGCAGATTTTAGGCTATGTATGTTTTACCACAATTTTTAAAAAGAGAGGAGAAAGAAATGGAGGTGCGAACCACAGGGATTTTACAAACTCTAAACTCTAAAGGGAACCCTCCCACTGTCCTCCCCGATGAAGCGGGTCCTCTCTCCATCACGTAAGGGCGATACTTGCTGTGGGTTAAACTCGCTTCTCTCCTGGGGCACCTAGCGTCTTCTCACTGCTTGTCTATCACATACTTGCTTCTGCAGGCAGGGCAGCAAGCCGGGCCCCCTGTGTACACCTCTATTACAAGTGGGATCGGGGAGCCCCTGCCACTCCCCCGTGACCTCCAGGCAGGACTCTGGACTGTCTTTCAGTGACAAGGACAGAGCCAGGCCCGGGGCAGGTGTGGGCGGGGCTCGGTCAACGAGGAGAAGGTGAGTGGGGGCGTCTCTCGGGAAACAGTGCTAAGGGCCTCGGGGTGAGTGTCTGGCATCGGCTTTTCAAGGAAGAGGAGTGGTGATCGGGGTGAACAGGGCATCGCTGGGGCTGCCGGTCAGCCAGAAGGGAGGTCCGACAAGCACGGTGCATACCAGATGCTGTCCTTGTCGGCGACGGCGATGCACGGCGTGAAGGGGTGGAATTTCACCACAGAGGGGACGCCGGGGTTCCTGTTCAGAAATATTTGGTCGTCCAATCTCGTAATGCCTGTCAAAAGAAACACGAAAGAGTGGATCCAGGAGCCAGCGTCTTTCCCTCTTTTTTTTTATTTTTTAATTTTTGAGACGGAGTCTCGCTCTGTCCCCCAGGCTGGAGTACGGTGGCCGGATCTCGGCTCACTGCAAGCTCCGCCTCCCGGGTTCACGCCATTCTCCTGCCTCAGCCTCCCGAGTAGCTGGGACTACAGGCGCTCGCCACCTCGCCCGGCTAGTTTTTTGTATTTTTAGTAGAGACGGGGTTTCACCGTGTTAGCCAGGATGGTCTTGATCTCCTGACCTCGTGATCCACCCGTCTTGGCCTCCCAAAGTGCTGGGATTACAGGCTTGAGCCACCGCACCCAGACTTTTTTTTTTATTTTTTAAAGACAGAGTCCTGTTCTGTAGCCCCGGCTGGAGTACAGTGGTGCGATCAAGGCTCACTGCAGCTTCCACCTCCTGCTTAAGCGATCCCCCCGCCTCAACTGCACGTAGCTGGGGGTATAGGCGTGTGCCACCACACCTGGCTGCTTTTTTTTTTGTTGAGACAGAGTCTTACTAGGTTGCCTGGGGTAGTCTCAAATTCCTGGGCTCAAGCGATCCTCCTGCATCGGCCTCCCTAAGTGTTGAGATTACAGGCATACTTCCAGCCAGTCTTTTTTTTTTTTTTTTTTTTTTTGAGATAGAGTCTTGCTCTGTCGCCCAGGCTGGAGTGCAGTGGCGAGATCTTGGCTCACTGCAACCTCTGCCTCCCAGGTTCAAGTGATTCTCCTGCTTCAGCCTCCTGAGTAGCTGGGATTATAGGTACCCACCACCATGCCCAGCTAATTTTTGTATTTTTAGTAGAGATAGGGTTTTGCCATGTTGGCCAGGCTGGTCTCGAACTCCTGACATCAAGTGATCCACCCACCTTGGCCTCTCAAAGTGCTGGGATTACAGGCGTGAGCTACCATGCCCAGCAAGCCAGTCTTAATTTACAATAAATATTCACAATGTATCTCATCATGGTCAACAATACCTTGTGGACGTGGAGACGCACAAAGGAAGCAGAAGAAAAGCAGGGACTGAAGGGAGGGGCCTGACCACCTGCTGAGGGGCAGGCACGTCTGGGCTCTCGGGCGACGGCAGCCACTGAGTCCCCAGAGTGAGGGCCCAGGGCCCTGGCCGCAGGGTCCATGCCTTTGCTCAGAACCCCCAAAGCTCCTGATGCCGAGCTGGATACGCGGAAGCATTCGGCCGATGCTTGTCAGCAGTGGTCAGGTTCGTATGAATTATTTGGGTCGGATTATGTGAAGAAAGGGCTGAAGGTTTCAGAATAAGCTGGGTAGGGCTCTGATTCGTAACAGGCTTAAGGAGGAGACACGAGTGTGACCACCAGGATCCACACTACAGCCAAAGTCTGGGGGTCTTTCAGTCTAGAAAGATGACAGCTCTGAAATTCCTTGATTGAGGGATCTATTACAAAATCACAGATTTAACGGAAGAGGGGAACGTGGACTTCACCACCAGGGCCCCGAACACGAGCACTAGGAAGTAAATCGCTTGTGACTCTGAAAGAGTTTGTTCTAGAAGGAACCATAAAAGGAAGCTAAAAATGCAGAGGGCGTCAAGATGGATCCAACACATCTTGGTGACTGAAAGGGCAGCGGGGGGTCTGTGGGTGCACAAGCCTGATTGTCTGTTGCAGTGCCAGGGACACAAGCCGGGCTGCCTCCTGGCCTTGGCTGTGGTCACCTGCGTGGCCTCTGGGCAACCAGGAGGGTGTCTTGGGGACCCCCAAGCCTTCCTCAGCCGGAGACACAGCTCCAGGTGGTGCAGAGCGAAGCCACCTGGCTCTTACTAACCATGTCCTCACCTGAACTTGTGGTCTGGCCCGGAGGACCGCGTGACCCGGAGGACCGCGTGACCCGGAGGACCGAGTGACCCGGAGGACCGCGTGACCCGGAGGACCGCGCCGGCCTCAAGTCTTCCTTGTGGGGAGTGGTGGGCTTGTGCTCTGGCAGGAAGTGACACTGCCAAGTATAAAGTGGTCCCCAGAGAAACTTCCACCGGCCTGCACACTGGGACAACAGTGGGGAGCCATAGAAGTTGGTGCCCTTTGCAGAGAGAGGAGCCCGGCTCTCCCAATTCGGGGTAGAACCTAGGATCCAATCTGAGGCGGGAAGAGCACCAGCAGGACTCCGGCTTTGCAGGGAGGCCCTATTTACGGTCTTTTCCTTCTCGCCCAATAAACCCTGTCCTTCTCACCCTTCAAAATGTCTGGGAGCCTAATTTTTCATAGTTGTGTGACAAGGACCCTGTTTTTAGCTGAACGAAAAAGTCCTACAACAGAAGGAGCCTACCCTCGGGGCACAAGGTCAAAGCCGTGTGACTTGGGCACTCTGCTGCAGGCCACTCTGAGCTGGGCTTAAGCACAGCCAAGGCCACCCATCCCCAGCAGCTGACAGCCCCTCCGCTTGTGCCTGGCACTGTCCAGGTGGCACCAGGGCCGCGGCGTCTGCGGGCTGAAGTCTCGCTGATGCTTGGTGTGTGCACGGCACCTCAGTGAGCTACTCTGTTTCCAACACTGTCAGTCCCCAGCTTCAGTCCTTAAACAGCAAACGCCCGGAACCACGGAAAGGAAAGGAATGCCAGGTTATATAAGGAGGGTCCGCACTCACAGAGGCGGGCAGGCCCAAAGCCTTTGGTGTGGCAGCAACACTGTGTTACCCTATGGTCCCTCCATTCGCAGCTGCAGGGATATTTGGATGGAGTTTAGGCATAATCTAAGCACTGAAAGACAAAGGGAAACCCCACCCAGCATGTGCGTTCGGTACGTTTGAAAATCAGTGTGTGACGGCCAAGGTCGTGAATGTCGCCCAGGAGAAGGCTGAAGAGCTGTGCAGGGGCCTGTGTGGCACAGGCTTTCCCAATCCTGCCTCCTGGGCAACGCCGACTTCTCTGGTTCTCGTCCATCCACAGGCATCAGTTTCTCCTTTTTCTTAATGCTCACGTCTTTCCCAGCACACAGTCGGCTGTTAAATGAAAATAAACACCTGCACTGAATCCGAATTCCGAGGACAGGGAGGAGGGCGCGGCCTCACGCCTCAGCGGCTCCCGGAGCTATGCCTGCTGGCACCGTCCCCTGTGTCTTCAGGCCTCATTTGCTGGTGTCTCCAGCGGCTCGCAGCTTCTCCTTTGTGTGTCTGGACAATCTCTCTCCCTTTTTTCACAAAGAGAACTCTCAATTCTGCTTCACAAAGATACTCTTTTTTTTTTTGTCTAGAAACCTGTTTTGGGTCTTGAATGCCAGCCCTGTTTCATGCCCTGCTCGTTTCTGACCACAGGCTCCAGGCCAGAGCATCACCTTGGCCGTCAGGGGCCAGCTCATCTTCCGATGTTGAACTGTGTGAGCCAGACTCAGCTCCCAAGCCTGTCTCAGGCGGCAGGCAGCCCCCGAGTGCTGGCCATCCCAGCTAGCAGGCTGGGGGGGTCCTAGAAAACTGCTAACCTCCAGGAAAACGGCCTCCTGTCACCGCCACCCGGAGGCGGCTCATCCAGCAGGGTCGTCTGTTTTCTCTGCTGGAGAAGGCCACCCTGGCTGCAAGGTTCAGTGGCGGCTGCTGGCGCGGCATGCACTGGATCGCAACACGGGAGGTTTAAACCTGGTCTGCCGCCAGCTCTTCAGATACACAGAGGGCTACAAACAACCACAATTAGCTTTCGGCACAACAGCCACCGTCTGTGTTAATGCGAGACGAACCCCAGGCCTTTGCAGGGAGAGCTGTATGGGAACATGCTTCAGAGATGTCGCTGGTACCAGAAGTCAGCAGTCTCTTCGGTGCTCAGCAGAGCGGAGGTGTGAGCTGGGCCGAGGCATGCTCGCTGAGGACGAGCTCACGGCGCCCGTGCTGCCTGCAGGCAGGGCCTGGACAGAGTGCGCAGGTCCCTCAGCTTTGGCAGGAGGGACGGTATCTGTCTTACGGGTCACCAACCCCAACTTCAGAAAGTAACCCAAAATAATCTTCAGACTTTTACAGGACACAGACGCAAAGTCAGAACAATAAACCCGCACACTGGGGTCAGAGTCCTTGATTCTTGATGGGGCTGATTTGGTTGGCGGCAGTTTGAGGTCCCCCAGCCAGAGCTGGCTCAGTGGTGGGAGCCCATGGCCGCGGGGGCAGGGGAGGAATGCGGAGACACCACGGCTGCTCTGTGCCCTCAGTGTCCTCAGTGGGGCCACAGGGCTGGGCCTGGGCCTCTGTACCCTCCTGGATTCTGGGGAGAGGCCAGGGTCTCTGGGATGGGGTTGCCTGACACCCTCATTGCTGTGTTGACTCTCAGGGCCTCCCTGCTCCCCAAAGTCTCTGCGACCGGGGTCGCCTGCAGCCCAGATCCCTTCCACAAGGAGCCCCCTCTGCTGTCTGTGGCAGCACACACGGCGCCTCCCGGGCTGCTCCCTGCCCCTCCACTCTGCGTGCAGCTGGGAGAGCACACGGTGAGGCAGGCGAAGCGGGCATTTGGCATCTGGTGGCAAATCCGGGAGAAGGTTTAGGAAAATCATGACCGAAGTGTTGGGTGATAGAGCTAGCCACAATTTCAGGGACAAGGTGGAGGCCACAGCTGAGGAAACCAGGGCCTGGCATTTTCACTTTCTGTTTCCGGGGAAGGACACGCCATCTGCAGGGCCTGGCACAAAGACACCCGTCCGGGTGGGGAGATGTGGGCTCTCAGAGGCCTTCCCTTCCGGAAATATCAACGTGCAAAGTTCCGCTTCCATGAGTTCCACCTGTGCTGCTAATCCTGCGGGCTAGGGGCTGCCCTTGCAGGGGGAAGAGGCAGGGTCCTGGGACAGCCCTCTTCCCAGGCGGTGGCTGGGCTCCCACCCGGCCCCGCCCCCCACTCTGGGCTGCAGAACCTTGAGTGGCAGCAGCTTCGCCTCCACCAGCCTTGATGTGCTTATCTGCAAGGGAGATGGGGTGCAGGGGGCGGGTCTGTTGTGGACAGTGGATGGCTGGAGAAGGTTGTGCGTGGACTGCGGGGGGCCTGCTCACGGGGGGCCCTCCCCCAGCCCCCACCCCCGGAATGAGCTCCTGGCTGGCTGGTGGGTGCCCTTACCCTTCTGGATGACTTGCTGGGCCTGCCTCCTGACGCGGCTGTTTCGCAGGAACCGCCACTCCCGCTCCTTGCGGATCTGACTCTCCAGGTCGTGCTCTTCCGGGATCTTCAACAACAGAAAACACCCAGTTAAGCCCAGTGATGAAACAGGGTCGTCTCTCGGTGTCAGTGGGGGACGGGTTCCAGTACCCCTCGGAGAGCAAAACCTGTGTGGCTCAGTCCCCTATGTGAAAGGGTGTGGCACCCGCGTACAAGCAGCACGTGTCCTCCGGCACACCTCAAACCCTCGCTAGCTTGTTCACCATACCCGATACGGCACACCTCAAACCTGAGCTAGCTTGCTCACCATACCTGATACAGCGTCAATGCTGTGTAAATAGCTGCTATGCTGTATTTTCAAAATTTGGATTGGGTTTTGTTGTATTAAATTTATTTTTGTTATTTAAATTTGTTTTTTGATCCAAAATTGGTTGCATCTGCGGACGCAGCTCCTGTGGACATGGAGGGCTTGGCTGTGGTTATTTTCAGATAAAGGCACCTCTTTCTCAAAGGCTGAAGGCTCTGGGCTTCTCGTCTGGCGGCGCACCCGAGGCACGGGCTGTTGGTAGGTCCTACATCTGCTACAAAACACATCACTGGTCCCCTCCCCGGAGCTGGGAGAGGCGCTCTCCACACCTGTGTTCGCTAGTGTGGGGGCTCTGAGACCCCTGAGTGAGTGGCCTGTAGGTGAGGCTGACAGGTTGATGGGAAGCAGGGCCTTGGGAAATGCCTCTTCAGGGAATGGGGGGTACTGAGGTCAGCACCGAGCAGCAGGGCAGGGGGGCACCCAAGTGCCACTTCAAACACTGAAAACACAATCAGGAGGCAGGTGCGCGTGAGGAGACACTGCCTTTATTCTCTCTCTGATGCCAAAGGGAAGCAGGCAGCTGGCTGGAGGATGAGGGAGGTTACGAGACGGGAGGAAGAAGCCTCACGAGAGGCTAGGCCGGGCCCTGAGAAGGTGCGGGACCTTCCTGGGCAGCAGAGGGGGTGTCCCTGGGCTCCCGACGGTAGAAGAGCTAGGAGGGTGCTGAGCTGCAAGTCTGGCTGGGGTTAAACTAACTCGTGAGAACTTTAGTGCCCTTCCCTAACAAGATAGCTTCAGAAAGACCAAGTTAATTTTCACTTGAAATTTGCAGACGCCGGACATGCTGCTGTCCTCTCTTCCCTGAGCAAAGGTCCTCGCTTCAGGACCTGCGTGTGCATGCCTGTGTGTGCGTGTGCATGTGTGCGTGTGCGTGTGCATGCATGTGTCTGTGTGCAGGCACATGTGGGTTGGGGTGTGCACGTTCAGCGTCTAGGAGAGGTCCATACTTGGCAAATACTAACTAGGATTTAATCGACTTTACGCAGCAGGATGGCCACTTGTCTGTGTAACACGGATGCATTTCCTTAAGCATACATTGACCGTTCAGCCAATCTGGCTGAGTCTGTTCCTTGCTAAGAAACTAAGACTTGTGAAGACCCAAAATACAAAAGAAATGAAATAAACAAGATAAGAACCCTAGTTCCTTTTGGCTAAAAACAACTCCGTCTCGACAAAGGAAAAAGCCTGCATTAGTTATTAAAAAGTCGCTTTCTCTGATAGAAGAAATGGGAATAAAGACTATGGCGCGTGGCCATGTTTGTGTCCCTGCACGTAAATGTGGCAAGAAAATGGTTTCTCCATGTGGAGTTTTAGGCGGTCATTGCAGGTGGTTATTACGTGCAGATGTTTACACAGCATTCTTTGTGTCTCCTCCTCCAATGCTTTGTGTCAGCTCTGATGACAGAACAGAAACAGGCCAACCCCAAACCTTGCGTCTGACCCTGTGCTCACGGATGGCTATGGCTCAGTTCCTAGCATTTTACTGCTCTGCTTCCTTCTTTTTCTTCTTAAAAGTCAAAAACCACACTTGACAAAGCAGCCACAACACAGCAAAAAAGACATCCAAACCCGGAAACGATAACCACAAAAGGTGTCAAATGGCTCCCTCCGCACATTTTCTGGTTTAGAAATAACCCCACAATGGCAAACGGGATAGATTGTGGATTCTTAACAACCGGCTTCACTTTATGACAATCCTGAGCTTATTAGAAAAGAAGTGACAAATGACCAGTAACCTAGACCAGTAACAAGAAAAGACCCACGGCCGAAAGACTCAAAGCTGCGCAGGAACAGCGATATTGCACTTCAATGAGACTCGGGCTTCTCTGGGAATAAACTAGAGGAAGAGTCTAAAAGGCACTTTCCAGCGGGAAGGGAGAGGAACCCGATGGGAATTCCAGGTCCTTGGCCCGGCACTCTGTGGCCCCGGGTCTGAGCTCGGGCAAAGAATCCAGACACTGGGGGCAGACACGGGGCAGCTTCAGAGCCTCAGTTTCGAAGACAACAGAGACGAAGACTGCAAGGTCGAGAGGGGGCCCGTGCCAGAACAGGGAGGGGCACCAGGACGCCTGGAGACAGGAGCTGAGGGGTTTCAGGTGGACTGGCATTTCTCCTGTTGCCATGGCACTGCAAGGGCCCTCTCCCAGCCCAGGAGCTCTGCCTCTAGAGGTAGGTGGCTGCCACTTCCCTAGTCTGAGCTCAAGGAGAGAGCCCACAGCCTTCCCTTACAGCCCTTGCGGGGCTGGGAGGAGACTTTCTGAACGGGAACTCGGTTCTGAAACCACCCCCAGTGTCTGTGTCAGGACAACCAGCTATGAGCACGAGGGTCACAGGACCAGCAGAAGGGGAGGTGTGGTGTGAGGCAGGAGGGAGAGTGGTGGATGGAGAGGCCAGGGGAGGGCAGAGATGCCGTGGAAGATGCGGGCACCCTCCCTGGGAAGCCAGGATGTGACCGCCGCTCAGCACAGAGGCAGCAAATGACACTGCAGCTCTTCATCATCGGCCTGTCACCTCCTCTCCACCTGTTTCTCTTCAGGCTGAATAAAAGCTTTTCAGTAAACAAGGGCCCAGGCCGAGTGCAGGCTGAGCCTCCCTGTAAACAGAGCTCCTGGAGGCTGTGGGTGCCGCTGATCCTGTTACATGATGAGGATCTTGACACTCCTGTTCCTCACACCTCTTGGCTTCCACTCAGACAGAAACCAATTAAGATTCTGAAGCCTCCCACAGAAGCGTCAGCTGAAAGCCAATGAAACACAGCTCCTTTCCTGTTGCAAAGAAAAACCTGGGGCTCAGGAACAAAGGGAGATTAGAGGGTCCCCAGAAGACTTACGGGAAAGCAGCAGTTTGGGGCAGTTTTGGGGTAAATCCTTATCTGTGGAATCTGGGAGCCCTAGGGCTGAGTCTTATTTTCAATCTCTCTGAATTTAGAAAGTTCAGGGTGCAGGGGATAAAATTCAAAACAGGTACATGACTATCAAGATTGAGAAAGACTTGGGTGAAGGCAAAAGGGGAGAGGAACCCACGGGGAAAGATTGCTAACACATTAAACGCTTACGCTCTGAGCTCCCTCCCTCTCCACCCACTTAGCCTGATGACATGAAGTAAGGGCAAATTTGCCTCTGTGATGTGCTTTTCCCCCTGACGCTTCTCATTATTTCCCCCACTGTTTAGCAACAAACTATCCCCCTCCCCACTGAACAATGAAGTCCCCCTTCGTGAACAGAGGCAGCAGAGGAGGTGGAGGAGGAGGAGGTCGTGGTGTGCGTCGTGAGTCCACAGGCAACAGAGCTGATTTGATTCTGCCAATGTCTCGTGTGCATTACATCCAAGGACACAGCCTTTGCGTTACCACAAATCGCCAAGCTATGGAGCAGGGAGAAGCTCTGGACGAAGCTGGGAGCCTGCTGCGCGCGTTCACTCCAAAACATGCATTTACATCATCTTTCATGTGACTTCAGCACAAGAGGGAAAACAGTCTCTTCTCCCCGTAACATGAGGTTGATGGAGATGTCATTACGTACAGTGAATTTCACCCTCTTTAGGTACAGGCGGAGTTCTGACAAATGTTTACGGTCATATGACCACCCCTAAATCAAGATATAGAACAGTTCCGTACAGTTTTCCTTTCCTGGAACGTTATATAAATGGATCGCACGGGATGTGGTCTTTTGAGCAGCTTCTTCCATTTAGCATGATATACTTGAGATTCATCTGTGCCACTGCATTTATCAATAGTTCACATTTTTTTCTGATGAGTCTTTCATTACATGGTTACATCAGCTTCCCTCTTTACCAGGTGAAGGAAACTTGGGTTGTTTCCAGCTTTTGGTAACTATGAATACAGTCACTATAAATACTCACATACAGGTTTCTGAATGAACATGTTTTCACCTCTCTTGGTGAATATCCAGGAGTAGAATGGTTGGGTTGTATGGCAGGTGTATGTTTAACTTTGTAAGAAACCGACAAACTTTTCCAAGGTGTCTGTAGTGTCTTGTAGTTGCAGTAGCCAAGAATGAGGGTTTTCTTCAGATGCTCTGTGTCCTTTGCCAGCACTTGGTAGATTTCAAGATCCGAGACATTCTAACAGGTGTGTAGCGGGATCTCACTGCAGGGGTCTGTACTTTCCCGTGATTAAGATCCTTAACAATGAGCATCGTTCCATGTCCTTATTTGCAACCTGTATATCTTCTTTGGTGAGGTTTCTGTGCAAATCTTCTGCCATTGTTTTTTAATTGGGTTGCTTATTTCCCTATTATGGAATTTTGAGTGTTCTTTATGTGTAACAGCCACAAGATCTTTATCTTACGTGTTTATAATTTTCTCTCAGTCTGTGACTTGTCTTTTCATTTTCTTAACTGTCTTTAAAAAGCAGTTTTTGGCCGGGCGCGGTGGCTCACGCCTGTAATCCCAGCACTTTGGGAGGCCAAGGCGGGCGGATCACGAGGGCAGGAGATCCAGACCATCCTGGCTAACATGGTGAAATCCCGTCTCTACTAAAAATACAAAAAAAAAAATTAGCTGGGTGTGGTGATGGGCGCCTGTAGTCCCAGCTACTCGGGAGGCTGAGGCAGGAGAATGGCGTGAACCCGGGAGGCAGAGCTTGCAGTGAGCCAAGATCACGCCACTGCGTTCCAGCCTGGGTGACAGAGCAAGACTCTGTCTCAAAAAAAAAAAAAAAAGCAGTTTTTAATTTTGAT